GGACCCGAGGTCACTGTCACCAGGAGGCTCGGTGCTCCCTCCGGGCTATGGCACCTCCGGGCTATGGCACCTCCGGGCTATGGCATCACCGGGGCCTCTCCCAGTTGGGGCGTAGACACTTTGCCACCTGGGCAGGTTCTCAGAGTTCATTTTGCCTGGAGGACCCCACCAGCTGCTCACTTTCCAGCAGCTCAAACACCTCAGGGGGGCGGGGGGGACTCACTCCGGTTTGGGGTCATAACGCCTGTGGGGACGAAGGACTCCTTCCCACAAGCCAAGTCCTGCCGCCTCTCATGCCCACCTGGCGGGCCGGCACCCTTCTCCGCAGCAGAGTGGCCCTGGCCTGGGCTGGGCCTCGCTTGGCCCCAGGAGTGCGGACTGGGTCTCATCTAGGAAGCAGATGGCATCACCTGGGGTTGAGTTCTGGAGTCCTCCACCCAGAGTTCAGCACAGCCAGTGCCTGTACATGCTCGCTGCTTTTATTCATTACTAGAGGCCGATGCATGAAAACGTGCAAGAGCAGGCCTTCCTTCCCCTGACTGCCGACACCGGCTTCCCTCTCACACCCGGGACCCGGGCTTCCCTTGCAGCCCCAGCTTTGTCCTGTCTAATCAGCATATTATACTTTTATTATTATTACAGACCAGAGGCCCAGTGCATGAAATTCGTGCATAGGAATTGAACCTGCAATGGAGGTACATGCCCTTGACTGGAAATCCAACCCATGGCCCTTTGGTCTGAGGGCCGATGCTCTAACTACTGAGCAAAACTGGCCAGGGCTAATTTTTAAAATATTTTTTGGATCTGTACAATATGTCCATTCCCTCTGCCATTTCATTGTTGAAACCCCTGGATTACCAGAAAAGCTTAAAAAGTGTTATCCCAGAGTCCATTCTTACCCTTTTCTAATCCATTCTTCACATTGTCTTTCAAAACACAAATGTGATTATGTCACTCCCTTGCTTAAAACTATTCTGTTCAATTTATCTGTATGGAAGTATAACATTTTAACAATTATAGCTTTACTATAGGCCTGGTGCACAAAATTCACGCACTGGGGGAGGGGGGCGTGTCCCTCAGCCCAGCCTGCACCCTCTCCAATCTAGGACCCCTCAAGGGATGTCCAACTGCCGATTTGGATCCCAGTGGGACATCCCTCTCACAATCCAGGACTGCTGGCTCCCAACCACTTGCCTGCCTGCCTACCTGATTGCCCCTAACCGCTTCTGCCTGCCAGCCGGATCACCCCCTAACCACTCCCCTGCCGGCCTGATTGATGCCTAACTGCCCTCCCCTGCCAGCCTGGTCCCCCCCAACTGCCCTCCCCTGCAGGCCATCTTTGACCACATGGGGGCGGCCATCTTTGTGTGAGGGTGTGATGGTCAATTTGCATATTACCTCTTTATTATATAGGATTGTTATCATCATGGTTGTTATTTTGACGACCAGTCTCTGACCTTTGCGTGTGGTTTCCAGGCTACTCACTTCCACACAACCCTCCCCAGAGCAGCCTCACCCCGACGTGGTCTCTCCCCTGGGTCTGGACATCCCCCCCCCCTTTTTTTGGAAGGGATCCCGGCCACGCATGTGCTGTGCAGAGCCTTGGAGACAGACCATGCTGGGCACCAGGAGGCAGGTGGCTGCATGGAGCCAGGCAGAGCGGGCGAAGCATTCCGTGCGTGTGCCAGAGAGAACGAGCAGGCTCTGCTGTCAGTGTCGCTATGGGAAAGCCAGCGCCTCCCTCCTGGCCGTCCGCCACTTGTTCGTATAGGAGAGCCTCCTCTTCGTGGGTCTTTGTGGCTCTGGCCTCTATGGACTTCCCGGGCCGTGCACAGCCAGGCCTGTGAACCCCGACCCTGTGCTCCCTGATGGGTGTGAGCCTGTTTACAAAGTGTAAGCGTGACCCCAGCGACCACTGGGTTCACAATGGTGAACTTGACCTCAACTACACGCCTGTCTTTCCAAAGCCCTGTGGGCGGCGGGGAGAAGTGCCTAGAGGCCGTGCAGGCAGCACAGAGGAGGGTCAGGGAGGCGGCAGGGAGCACAGAGGTGGGTCAGGGAGACGGCAGGGAGCACGGAGGTGGGTCAGGGAGGAGGCAGGGAGCACGGAGGTAGGTCAGGGAGGCGGCAGGGAGCACGGAGGTGGGTCAGGGAGGAGGCAGGGAGCACGGAGGTAGGTCAGGGAGGCGGCAGGGAGCACGGAGGTGGGTCAGGGAGGAGGCAGGGAGCACGGAGGTAGGTCAGGGAGGCGGCAGGGAGCACGGAGGTGGGTCAGGGAGGAGGCAGGGAGCACGGAGGTAGGTCAGGGAGGCGGCAGGGAGCACGGAGGTGGGTCAGGGAGGAGGCAGGGAGCACGGAGGTAGGTCAGGGAGGCGGCAGGGAGCACGGAGGTGGGTCAGGGAGGAGGCAGGGAGCACGGAGGTAGGTCAGGGAGGCGGCAGGGAGCACGGAGGTGGGTCAGGGAGGAGGCAGGGAGCACGGAGGTAGGTCAGGGAGGCGGCAGGGAGCACGGAGGTGGGTCAGGGAGGAGGCAGGGAGCACGGAGGTAGGTCAGGGAGGCGGCAGGGAGCACGGAGGTGGGTCAGGGAGGAGGCAGGGAGCACGGAGGTAGGTCAGGGAGGCGGCAGGGAGCACGGAGGTGGGTCAGGGAGGAGGCAGGGAGCACGGAGGTAGGTCAGGGAGGCGGCAGGGAGCACGGAGGTGGGTCAGGGAGGAGGCAGGGAGCACGGAGGTAGGTCAGGGAGGCGGCAGGGAGCACGGAGGTGGGTCAGGGAGGAGGCAGGGAGCACGGAGGTAGGTCAGGGAGGCGGCAGGGAGCACGGAGGTGGGTCAGGGAGGAGGCAGGGAGCACGGAGGTAGGTCAGGGAGGCGGCAGGGAGCACGGAGGTGGGTCAGGGAGGAGGCAGGGAGCACGGAGGTAGGTCAGGGAGGCGGCAGGGAGCACGGAGGTGGGTCAGGGAGGAGGCAGGGAGCACGGAGGTAGGTCAGGGAGGCGGCAGGGAGCACGGAGGTGGGTCAGGGAGGAGGCAGGGAGTGGCTGGGGCCCCCACCCCCAGTCCCTCAGGACCTGTTATCCTGTGGCTCTGAACGCACAGACCCTAGACAGACTCTAGGACCCTGTGTGAGTCCCTGAGATGCCCAGGCATCTTACGTTAGAGTAAGACGCAGCCCCTGCCTCCAGAGACTGTCTCCGATGAAGACACCAAACACGCAGAGGTGGGAGGTGGGTGCCCACGATGGCCCCAGGGGCTGACCCCGCTGTGTGGAAGTGGCCAGCAGCACTTTTCACCAACCTCGTTGGAATGCCTTTGAAAGTTGCTCTAAGTGCCCTGGGCTGCAGCCCTGTCTGTGATGTCACCACAGCTGGTTCAGCATCCTTTGCCGGGCTCTATGCTTGGCTCCAGGCTCGGAGTGTTAGTTGTGATGTGAAGGCGGGCCAGTGTGACTGGGGCACAGGAAAGAAGGGCCGATTCTCCCTCAAGTCCAGGAAGGCTTCACGGAGGAGGGGGCATTTGGATTGGCAGAAAGATAAAAGGCTTGGATCGTAACCCGAGTGTCACCTGTGCACCTCTCTGTCAAATCCTTAGGTAGCGGCCCCCAAAAGGACCAAAGGGAGAGGTTAGAACCTTTTGCCCCAGGCCAGGGAGCCCTCACAGTTAGGCCACTGAGGGCACAGATCCTGGGCCCACGGATTGGGAAGAGGGGGTGGAAACAGGAGGGGGAAGGGCAGCCAGGAGAAGCGGGGCTGGGGGTGGGGGGCGTGGCAGACATACACGAAGCAGCTGGACCCCTCTTCAGTCCCCACCGCCTCCCTCTGACCCAGGTGGAGTCCCTCGGCCCTTCACACATTTGAGTCCTTCCCAGAAAGGAACGCAGCCTGGCCGCCAGGAAACAAATGGTATTTTATTGTGTGTGGAGAGGACAGATCACAGCAGACAACACGCTCGCCTCGTTTCCACGGTAACACGATGCATGGGAGGGGCAGGGCTGGTTTGGCTTCCCACTCTCTTTATGACCTTTGACCTCTGTCTGTTTTCCAACAACAAGGCCACTGCACCCCCACTCTGGCAGTGACAGGTGGAGGGAGGGTGCAGGCCATCACTGCTCACCTGGCCACGGCACGGACCAGAGGTCCTCAAACTTTTTAAACAGGGGCCAGTTCACTGTCCCTCAGACATTCCACACGTGCGCACTGCGGGCCCGGGACAAGTCGGCTGCTAAGCAGGACAGGCAGCGGCGGCAAAAACACCCGGCGGGCCGGATAAATGTTTTCGGCGGGCCGCATGTGGCCATCGGGCCGTAGTTTGAGGACCCCTGGCATGGACAGATGGAGGCCCCTGACTCTCCCCGCTGCCTCCCGGGAAGCCGGCCCCAACAGAATGGATCGCCTGCCCCAGACCCAGCGCGAGGGTGGGGGTCCAAGAACAGAGGAGCTGGGCTATAAGTGAGTCTCAGAAGTGGGGAGGTGGCGGGGGCGGGGGTCCAGGGCCCAAGGGGTTATTGCTGAGAAGATATGCAAGGGCACATTCCCAGGGGAGCCGGGCCTGCCCCCTGGCCTCTGCATGGAGCGGGGCAGAGGGGAGGCGAGGCGGGGAGTCCCAGGAGAAGAGGCCGGGGAGGGTTCGCGGCCTGAAGCCAGCTGGCTCCCAGCTCCTGGCTGTGAGAGACCCTCAGAACAGGCCAGGTCAGGGGTGGGCTGTGGAAACAGGTTCTTGAAAAGGAGTGCGGAGAGGCCACGAGGATCACAAAGCTGGTGCACAGCTTCCCAAGTCCCGACGAGTGGAGACTCCCTCCCGGGCCCCACCCTCACCACCTCTATGTCAAGAGAGGGGACTGGTCTCAGGAGCAAGCAGAC